AATCTTTGCGGAAAAATTCTCATTTCAAGAACACGGGCCGTTCAAAATTTGAAGACTTGCAAGTTGATGGCTAAATTCGTGGCGTCTCATCCGTAAATTTTTTCTCTATTTATTTTTCAAAATTTTTTTTCTACTGTACCGTCGCATTATGTAATGCCTCCCGCGTGTGTGCACATCTATATATTTTGTCTGTTATAGCTCCAATAAAAAAAGAAAAAAAGAACGAAAAGCGAAACATGCCGACGGTTGCAGCAGGGCGTTTGCCGTACGCAAGGTTGGAAGCACGCGGAAGAACCTCTGTCGAATCGATTCGTCGACGACGACGACGGGCGGAGAGAACCCCGGTACACACTGCAATGCCGTAACTTCTTGAAGCAAGATTTCAGAAGGCAGAAAATAAAGAGAACGCGAGATGTTTTTTTTTTTTTTTTTTTCAAAAGAGTGCGCGCGAGAACGAAAAGAGAGACACGAGAAATTTTATCGAGAAAGAACCGCCGCCGCCGCCGCCTCCGCCGCCACTGTCGCGACAGCAAAAACGCTCATCCGGCGTAATTATTGGACTCTCTGATGTTCTTATAAATCTTTTGCGGCGGAATAGAATTTAAAGTGCGCCCTCAAAACGCGCGCGTTCCCAGCCTTCGCGCATGGTCTCCATATATTAATTAAGTTTTTAATCATTCTGTTACTCCAACCGCGCCGCATATTTCGCGCACGAGATTCTCACACGGCATATATTATATTACATGGAAAGAACAATAAAGCTAACAGACAGACGGTTTACGAATGTCAATTGGTTCGTATGTTAAATGATACATCGCGCGCGCAAATTCATTCCGGTTGAACAATATCTCTTTTAACGAAACCATTGAAATAACAAACGATACTTTTGTACGCAAGTCAAAGTTTGTATTTTATATCAATTTGCTTTTCGTCAACGATTTTGTAAAACCGATTACGATGCGTGAACATCGAAGATAATTAAACTCTTTTTTCCTTAGTATAAATAACTCATAAATTGCTACGAATACGCTCTTTTTATTACATAACTGTATATTGTGTAAACAACTAGCAAGAGCGGCAAAGAGATACCGCTCCTATCGCGTCCCCTGATCTTGCTTTAATCGTCACAAGTACGTGATATTACACGCAAAATTAGTTCAGTACACCTGATATTAATAGACACAACGATATCAGTGTCTAATTATAATCTCGGACGCACGTTTACCACATATACGACAGGAAAAAAAAAACTTTTGAGCGAGATAGCAACACTTTGCACGCAAAGTGTTAAACGTCATGTTGACGCTGATATGCGTATAGAATATGAAACACAATTATCAACTAACCGTGCAACGCGAGTATTTAGTATTGTTATTGTTTTGAATTATTTCGATAAAAAGTTTAGATGCTGCAAAGTATTTTAATATTTGAGAGAATAATCACGCATGAGACGCAATGTAATAACACAATTCGATAATACACCTGTACGTGTCTTTTAATTGCAATAACAGATTTAACGTTATTTTAAAAACAAATATCACGTATGCCTACGAAATAATTTTTTATAATATCAAAATTAGTTTTTAAAAACGATTTACACACCGCTTTTAAAATTGGTGGCAAAATTAAGGCAAGCACATAGCGATAAGTTTGACGCAGGCAATTTCGGAAATCCATCATTTGCCTCAATCGAATGCAATTATCAGAGTCACGGCCCTTTAATAATCATCCGGTCGATGTATCAGTAAGAGAAATATAACGTACACAACAAACTTGGTGTTTCGCGTGATTGACGGGAGGGAGTTTCCGTGTTACAGAATATACGTAGTGGGAATAATGAAAGGAAGAGAGAGACAGAAAGAAAAAGAGAGAGGCGAAAGAGAGGAGAGAAAGTAAACTAAATACAGGACCGCAAAATTAACAGAAAACAAAAATTGCTGGCGGTCGATATTGCGTCAATACCGTCATTTTGTCACACTTCAGTATTTTTAGTTTCCGTGACAATTATTTTTTTGATTTTGAAAGAATTAAGAAGAATTAAATTTCACTTAAGCCTTTTCCAAGATGTAAATGACACCAGAGAGAAACGACAAAAACAGATTTCGTATCTCAACTTCGATCGAAGATCGTTCATATTTCCGAATTACGTATTTTTGCCAGTATATATTAGAAGATTTAGAACTTTACGTAATTATTGCGAAGTCACATTTTTCTTTGTTACGTGTATACAATTATTATAATAAAAAAACTCTATTTTGATATCCAACAAAAATTACGAACGCGCGTTTTAAAACGCGCATACAATACGCAAATGTTTGTCAATAAAACGCGATAATGTAAATATGTTTCAGAAACGTGGAATATTCATAATAAAAATCTACGTCTCACTTATGTTCTCTGATATGAATGTGATTATATAATTTTTACGACGTAGATAAAGAGTATTAAGTTTTTTGAGCAATTCACATAATAAAGATCAATGTCAGTTCTGTTCGAATCTTCAAAATACGAAAACTTGCGAGAGAGAAAAAGAGAGAGAGAGAGAGAGAGAGAGAGAGAGAGAGAGACAAAAAACCTTGGAAATTTTTAATATAAACTTGAGATATCATGGCATATTGTTTTCTGTGCACGATATATAGATTCCATTTTTATTGATAACCTTAGAGATTTGCTGCCACTTTTAAAACTAGTTTCTCCAGCTTAATTTAAAGTTTTTGCAAAATGATATATCAGACGTATGCTATTGTGTATGTGTTTCAGAAAAATACTGGGTTAGACTGATGTTTAATCCCGTCCTCCTTTCAGCGATCTTGATCAAAGTAGCTTTATCTCTTTTCCGGAATTATATTATGTATAATAACATACCCTTTTTTCCATAACTGATTTTTCTTTGATTCGACATCTCGTTTCAATATTCCATATAGGATTCAAAATCGATTGGCGCAAAAATGCCTTCTCGCAGAATGTTTGCTCGAAAGATTCTCAATCATTCAGTTTTGCAGGGCGGATAATCTATAATGGTCGTTACGAAAATGAAAGAATATTCGTTAAAATGCCAACGTAGGTGTGTAAAAAGAGACGCGCGCTCTACATAAAGTTTTCGTCTTTATCTGTGATTGTAGATTATTCGTCGCGATTCTTCCGAATCACTCGTAACCGAGTGATGAGTCAAATACAGAACGACGAAAAACAAATCCGCACTCACCAATATCGATAACACTATCGGCGATATACACAATAATAAAATAAAACGTAATTCTCGTCACACACGTGTTGACGCCAACTAGGCGAGTTATTAAGCTAGTAACTGAATGTGATCGTTGTCACAACAGCTAGTTTTCCCATGTCAAGTTTCTCTCTACGTTTTGTATAACATCGGGGGTACGCGCGTATTGTACATTAGAGTAAGGGCACTCTTTCACGACAGGTCAAAGAAACTTCAACGTGAAGCTAGAGAAGCTTACTGCCTGTGACGTCTCTGACGACCTTGAGTACGCGTCTTTCTCCGCTTATGAATCGTGGTGGCTGTCGCAGTCCGAGATACCATTGCTACGACAAACGCTAATCAATGTATACTTATAGCTTTTAGACGCGCAAAGATGACCGAAATACCGGCTTTTGTTGCGATAATCATCTTTGCATTAGGATATTTTCGCGTGTGTATGACCGCGGAAAAAAAGAATCGATGTAGCTGTGTTATTTGCAATCGCCACTAGACGCATCGAACAAATCAATACGTCTCGAATATAAACCTTGCATTTCGCTCTTAAAGTAACGTGTATATATATATATATATATATATATTCTGAGAATTGGAGATAGATGCTTTAAATAGAAAAGCGAGCTATCTTTATTAGTGTCATTCTCGATGTTACACAACTTGATGATTTTGTCAAAAAAAAAAAACAAACAAATAAAATACAGATATTATATATGAAACAGCGATGACTGTAAGTGTTAACTTTAATCGTTACGCGAAATCCCATAGCAGCAAAAAAGAAAAAATATATTTTGAGAAAAAATATCGTGTTGTAGTAATCAATACATCTCGGTATCTCTCCCTTGGCCTACATGCGGGAGGTAAGCGGGTCAATCCGTCACTCCTGTCCTGAACCATGACTGATATCGTTCGAAATGCATTTAGAGCTAACGCAATTTTATTCTACAGATTGAATCTGTTTTTCTCAAAGAATCGAGATTACGTAAAGTACAGAAGTACTTAAAATAATTATATTTATACACGTTCTTTCTTATAGACAATATAAAATATTGTCGACAGAGTGTGTGTTTGGTAATTTAAGATTTATTTAAAGCATTTTGCGCTAAAATCACATACTTCGATCCATCGAATTATTTATTGTTTAATTTTTTTAAATAAAATAAATCGCGGGAGAAAAAAGAAACTCACTCATCGGCGCAAAGTCAAGAGCAGTTTGGTTATTCATTTTTCATAAAAGTTCCGCGATTTGATCAAGGTCATTATTTGTCCACACTGTTTTCCAAGTCTTACTCGTTATACTTTCGCCTCAAAACACAAAATGTAAGAAAAATTTGCAAAAAAAAAAAAAAAAGGTAAACGTCCGTCCACGAGACAAAACAACAGTCGTGCGAGAAAGTGAAGTCACGCGACGCTATGCTCCTCCATGAAATATAAAGTCACAGTAGTAACGAAAGGGATAAGAGAGAGAAAGAGAGAGAGAGAGAGAGAGAGAGAGAGAGAGAGAGAGGAGGGAAAAAACCGTGTGTAAAAAAGCGGTGGGATGTGCACATAGCAGTGTAACGTGTATTTATATAAAAAAAAGGAGGTAGGAAAAAGAAGGTGGGAAAAAGGAGAGTTGATGGATAGAAAGACATGAAGCGATACAGGGACAGAGCGAGAGAGAAATTGCAGAACAAGACAGACTGATCGATCGGTGTAAAAGTGGACGGAGACAGGGTCAGACATTTTCCTAGATCGCGGTATATAACGCGATCAGTCGCGGTTTACATTCCGTACATACCGAGGGCATCAGCTGATCGGTAGACCTGACCCGGGTCACTCTGTTTCTGTAGATTATCCTTTTGACGATTTTCTCCACCGGTTTGTTCCATTTCATGAAGCTCACATATCCCAAGTAGAATCCGAAAAGCACGAGCGCCTCGTACCAATGTATGTAACTGTCGCGGAAGAAGTAGATCAGAGTGATTAGACTGACACTGTAGAAAGAGCAGTCGCGAAATAGAGGCCACCATGTGAGCGTCAGCACAGTACGCGAGAATATAGCGCACATGCCGATTACGAAGAGGATGTTGAATACGGCGGAGCCGACGATAGTGCCGATACCGACGTCGTCGAATGACACGAACACGCCTATTATCGATGTGAAGAGTTCGGGCGCCGATCCACCGGCTGCCATGAAAGTCGCGCCGGCTACGTCGTCGGCTATTTCGAGTTTCTCAATTATCACGTCCAGCGACGGTACAAAGAACTCATCGCAAACGATCGCTAACGCGACGAACATATACACTACGCCGAGTATGTGAAGTAACACCGCACCGCGGCGTCGTTGCTCGGTGGTGAACAGATCTTCTGGGAAGAGCGGCCTCTTAACATCGGTTTCATTTTCATAAGTTCTATTGTCAATTCCCGCGGCACCACTTATGTTGTTATTGTTGTCATTCACCTGCACGTTGGTGCCGTTGCGCACCAGAACGGGCATCGCTGTGCTGCTCGTAGTGGTGGGAAACATGATCGGGTTGCTCGGGGCCGGTCTGTGGCCCCAGGACGACGAGGGACCCACCACAAAGGCCAGAACCGCGGAGAGTAAAGTCACCACCACCAATCGGCGCCTCCGCCTCCAACACGTACGCCGATCACCGCCCGTCGCGATCATCGTCGTTGTCGTCGTCGGCGGTGGTGCTGCTGTTGGTGGTTCGCACCCTCGAGGATGTTCGCCGTTGTTAGCGAAATCTCCGCCGTCTTTCTCCTCCTTCGCCACCTTCTTCTTCTTCGCCGTCCTCCCCGGCGTCCTCCACCCTCTCTCTGGCCACCTCCGTCCCCTCCGCCGCCAGCACCACCTCCGACTTCTCTACCACCTTCTTTTGCGTGTCGTATCGTGTCGCGCCGCGAAGGTACGACAGAAGAGCCGTACTAAGGCTGGGTCATGCTGGAGCGCCGACGAGGAGCGGCTTCTTCAACCGATATCTTCCTCTGGATGGACCTACCTCTGCGTATATGACTCCGCGCAGTACTCGATCCACTATGACTATAATTCCTCTTCCGTTTCTCTTCGTTTTCCGCACTGCGTTCTTTTCTTCTTTCTCACTGTGCCGTGCCTCAACGATTTTTTTTTTTTTTTTTCACTCGATGATTACGACGTACTCGAGAGAATTAGTTCGCGGCGGATACTACAATTACTGCTACTGTTACCAACGTTGGTGTATGCCAATACTACGAACTGACTCGGATATCTGACACGACCAATATCCTCCTGCTCCCCGGCGGCGTTGTCTTCGTCGTCCTCGTCGTCGTCGTCGTTGTTGTTGTTGTTGTCGTTGTCGTCGTCGTCGTGGTCGTCGTCGTCGTGGTCGCGGTCGTCGTGGTCGTCGTCGTCGCCGTCGTGGTCGTCGTCGTCGTCGTCGTCGTCGTCGCCGCCACCGTCGGCGTCGCCGTCGTCGTCGTCGTCGTCGCCGTCGTGGTCGCTAGGATGCGGTGGATGGTGCATATAACCCTAGATGGATATACAGGAGCAGCAGAACGGCGCCCCCGCCGCGATGCCCGCCCGCTGCACACTGGAACAACCCTGTTCCGTTCCTCTCTCTCGCTTTGCTTCTCTCCACCCCTCTTTCACCTTCTCCACCGAGACGCCGCACTGACTCCCTCCTTCTATCTCTTTTTCCCACTACACTCTCTTCGTCGGTCTCTTCTACTCGCCGCTGGTGTCTCTCCTTCACTCTTTCGATCGTCTTCCATTCTTCGTCCTGTTCGCCACGGACACCCCTTTCGACCCTCTTAACGTTAATCTTTCTCTCTCTTTTTCTCCTGTTCTTCTTTCGTTTTTAGCATCAGCCTTATAGCACCTCGCGCTTTATTCCAGTTGCGCCAGCGATCGCCCGCGGTTCTCTGTCCTCTTTTCTTTCAATTTTTATATATTGCCGTTTTTTTTCTACCGAAACATAACAAGTCTCTCTTTTGCGAGAGAAGCGAGAGATATTTCTCTCTGCATATATCTCATATCTTTATCCACCCATCTACCGTTTGGTATTCTACACTTTGCACTCCCTTCTCTGTCTCTTTTTGTCTTTGACATATATCTTTTGTCTCTCTCTCTCTCTCTCTCTCTCTCTCTCTCTCCTCCGAGAGATAGATTCTCCGATTTCTCTTTTCCGTGCAGGCTTTCTGCTTCCTCGCTCCGCGTCAGCAGCGTCATCCCCGTATTTCTCTCTTTTGCGCCACCCCGACAATCCCGTGCCTATCCAACTTCCAACCCCGCCGAAATCGCTCCTCGAGCATCGCTCTGTCTCGCTTCGCGGTGCGTCCCGCTGCCCTGAATTCCTCTCTCTTCTACTCGCCGAGATATCTGTACGTTCCTCCCCCGCGCGCGTTCACCCCACGAGAGAGATGGTAGGTCGTGGAAGTGGGAGCCTGCGCACGTGTGGCCACCCCTTGCCGGGGCCACCCGCTCGATATCGGAGAGTCGACTCTACACAACTTCACGTTTACGAATGCACGTATAACGGGTGTCACCCGGACGGATTCCAGCCGTCCGTACCGTACAGTGGCGTACGTGCGCCTGCCTTTGGCAGTTCAGCATTGACTACTTCTTACTCGAGGATCAAACACGCTATGAGGGGGAAAAACAGACGAGGCTTACCACCGAACAGACAATTTTCCGCGCCGGGGGACACGCAGGTGACTCGTTTTGATTCGAGCAATAAGAAATCGGATTCAAAGATCGATTTCTGCTCAGCGCCGAGGGGGTCGCGACCGTTTCTCCTCTCTGCGCGCACACACACGTCTTTCCACGTTTTAACTTACCTAAAACTTATACAAATAGGAGGATTTTAGGATATTTGAGACAACCTCGTTTGTCTTCAAAGTCGAAACAATCAATGGCGTATCTCTCTCAGCGTACATCTATAAAACATACGTTCTTTACATTCCACGCAGCCTTTCCTCTTATCGCGTTTGTCAATTGCGGATCAGATATATTTGAAGAGACTATATGCGCGTATCTAAGAAGAAAACGGGGAGGAATTTATCGAGAAGTTTTTCTCTTTTCGCGCTGTAATAATATCGAATATACGTTTGCTCTTTTCTCCCGCACATTTGTAATATTTCAGAGAAGATAAATTATTTTCTCACTCTTCTCCCCTATATATTTTATAGAAATAAAATTCTCAAAACATTATTTTACTTCTACGCTTCTGTTTTCTCCAAATCTGTAGATATATAATAGTTTAGATATTTGCCGCAAAACTTGCTTATAACAGTTTTGGTCCGATAAAATATTATTTGTTACATTCTATGAGTAACAATTTATCGGTTGTGTGAGATCCATGTTGCCACAATGCAACGCGTCGTATCAGAACTTCGATTTGCAATTGAATGTTATTTGTTTCAAAATACTTTCACACGCAAAAAACGCGTATTGTAAAAAAATAAACTTCTTTTCGAGACATTTGACTTCTCAAATTAAAAGTATTTGTTAACTTTATATTTTTATTCTTAGATCTTCTGATCACACACAAAAGAAGAGTAGCTTAATATTAAGCAATAAGTAAAGTTTAGTAAGTTGAGTAGCTTAACGAACGACTTTATGTCACGTCTATCCAACAATAAACGGTATTATTGTAGTTTACGCTATTATTTCGCACACAAGCCATTTTAAGCTGTCTACCGCGCGTGTTGCAGTAACACAAATATTCTACTTAATTCAGAGTTGCCAACCTAGAAAATATCTTCCGTACAAAAGCATGTTGTGATACAAATAAGTTTTGTTTTTTGAATTCTCCGTTTAAAGAAATAATATGTAATAATATAAACCCTTGTTGCTCTGTCTATTTGTCTCTCTCTCTCTCTCTCTCTCTCTCTCTCTCTCTCTCTCTCTTTTCTAATATAAATTAATAGTAGCTGGATATAATCATAAAATTTTTTTACAGATATTGAAGATATCTGTAAATAAATAAATTTCTATTATACTTTTATTATCTTTTTGCTTTGCTTGAAGAAGGACTAGTCGATAATATCGACAAAATGTGCAAAAACACAACAAACAGAAATAACGTATACAATAATTGTTTTACACGTGTAAAATTGTCATCATAAAATATTTGTACACAGTTAATCTGTCATGTAAAATATTGTTCTTCCTTTGTAGAATTTTCTCACGTAAACGTTTTCATGACTTTACGTTATTTATTTTTGCAAAGAAGCTATGTCTAATTGTTTCAGTGAAGTGCGCAATTGTCTTGATTCTCTTACAAGTTTAACTCGCTCGATTATTTATTCTCGCTTGATGACGAACTGCTATTTTAAAATCGCGTTTCGCGAGGAACACGGTTATTTCGCAAAACTTTAATGTCAAAGTAAGTCCAAACTCCGGTAGAGAATTTTCGATATAACGTTTAACTGACAAAGAAGCAGAAGAACTTGTCGAACGAGACGAGTAGCTCGGCTGCGCAACTCGTTTAACACTGTCGTGACAATTAAAGTGGTTAAAAAGCAAACGAACTTGAGCGCGGTAAAACTTGTATATTAATTAATTTTCTGTCATTGTTTATTAATTGTGACGGAGCAAATTTTCGATTCGCGATTCTTAGACAAATATAAAAGACCGGACGAGAAATTGCTACGGAGAGAACTTTGTGCAAAAGAAACGTTGTGTCTAGAGATAGGCATCCCTTTTTATAGATCACCTTCTTGCACAACCTTTTATTCTCGCGGTGATACCCTTAGACCTACTTTGTTATGCCCTAGAGGTCGTTATAGTTATTACGTGGCTGTCGACGAGACTTTCGAGCTTTCGTTCCCTTGTCTCAAGCCTGCATCCCGTTGACGAAAGATCTCGCGGGAAAGACGCAACTTGCCACAATGTCGTTTTACTTTAAACTTACAATTGGAATTAAAACAGAATTGTTTCTTAACACATTAAGAAAGTTTATGTAAAGCATAATTTTACAGAAAAGCGTGGTAAAAAAATACTTACATATACGTGACAATTTATTGCAATATTATTGTCACAATTTTTGACAATTTTGTATGCAAACGTAATCTGTTAAATATTTCTATCGCATAATAACTTGTTTGCACGCGTTGGTGACTGTTATATTAAAATCGCACTGTGCTGACTCAACCAAGCGTTTCAAACAATAAAGGTCAATCCATGCTTCTCTTGGCTTGTGCGTATCACTCATGGTCTATTACCCCTGTATCATATGGTTCTTTGCCAGATATTGAAAGCGTGACGCTTTAAAATTAAATTTACTATTGTCCTTGTGATAATTTGTCCAATTATACATAATAAAATATATTCTGCAATAAAACACACACGATCTCACAAAATATGTAATTATTGCGCAGACAATTAAACACAAAGCTATGCAAAGATGCTCAAATTAATATTAATATTTACGCAACAATATATATTTAATTTTTCACGTATAGATCACGAAAAAAACTCTCAAACAGCAGAATTGCACAATTAAGTTATTTCAAGTTTATAAATTTACATTTCGTTTTTCTTTAAATCAATTAAAATAAACATTTACACTAAAAATATATTTTCACAAAGAAAAGAGGAACCTGTAAAACGATGATCGCACGCCCACGTATAAAATTATTGACGTGTAAAAGGAATCGCTACATAATTGTAATATACGCGTGGAGGAGTTGATCAAAGTCAGCGAGCCAAGTAAATAAAAAAGTTCAGAGAGACATTACATACATTTTTATAAAATTAATTAAAAGAAATATCTATCAAAAAATTATTTATTTTAATATAATTAATATTAACATTGCGAGCTTCATATTTATTATATCATCTCGCGGATCACGCACATGCGCTGCTACAGCAGTTCGCACAATTCTGTCGGTTTTAAGAAGCCATGGAAATACGAAATTTGTGATACACGAGCAAATATTATCGCGTTTATATGTTATGCGTCAATTGTTTATTCGCAAATATCAGATGGATATATACGAGCCCTTATCGTAACATCGCGCTTTTATATATCTATTCGTGCGTGAGATCATGTTCCGCGTACATGTTCTTCAGTGGGGTCTCCCTAGAGATCGAAAACCCATTTAAATGATCCTTCCAGTGTGAATGTTTTCCGTCAATTTCTAATCCCGCACATTTCGGCCTACATATATACATATACATATATATATTACATACCTAATAATGGTGCATCACGAGTAAACGTACTGCAAAAATTCTTCTTTTCGTAAAATAAAAACAAACATATTATATGTATGTCTTGTACAAATTAGTGCAATGTTTACTTCTCGCCAAAATTGATGGTCTCTATTCCGTTAATTAAGTTCATGTTTTAGAAGCCTATTTTCTTCT